TTTTTGGGTTATGTTTAATCACAGAAATCTATAGTGCTGGAGTTGCTTTTATATACCAAAGTATTGGCTTCTTTTATTGAACTGAAACTGTTGAACTGCATGGAAAACTGCTTTGGTCAAAGACCCAGAGAACAGGAGTGTTTGATGAAAAGCAAAGACAGTTTTCCAAATAGGCCCCTAGATTGTTTAAAATATGTATTTTACTACCTTTGAATAAATATTATCTACTAATACACAATGAAAACCCAGCAATGTATGTTTTATATCACTAGCTCTTTGAGCACAAACGGTACATAACGAGAGAGTGGAAGGCTCTACTGCTAAAAAAATCCATTTTGCCTGTGACACACCTGACAGAAGGAAATATGTTTGTGGAGAAGTCATGGTGAACATTACGCTGACAGATACAGTGTGTAGCTCAAGCCAACCACAGCTAGCCAGCTGGCTGCAGCTCCACAAGAGTAGTAGCAGAACATCTTCACAGAGGTTTGTCGGATCTCTGCATCGTCATTGCCAGGACTGTGTTAGCACTGAGGGAGGTGAACTTATATTAACTTCATAATGTTTTCATTTGGCCGTTGTGTCACATTTCATACACAAAACTTATCACGATTGCTCGATGTGCATTTTTCTTCACAGTCTCTGTGATTTCGGTTGATATATATGTTTAAAATTATAGGAGAAACCTGTTAGATCTCTCAGCTTTATTTCTGTTACGTATCATTATACATTGTACAGTACATTGCTTGGGTGATGTGATTTTCTGGAATAGATCTGCTGATACAAAATCACAGACAATCTGGAAAAGAAGCCTCTCTCCATCAAAAGTAAATACTTAGTCCATGATTTGTTATCCTCTTTACTTTATGAGGTATCAGAGGATCAATTGCTTATCGTGGACATTCGAGTTCCTTTACAATCAGATATGATGCAAGTGTTCAAATATTGTAATCATAAATATATCAGTTTGAATTTTTAAGAAAAGAGGGCCTCATAAAATATTTACTCACATTTACTATAATTTTTGTTCTTTATAATAAGCTGTACAACTTCATGTAAATATTCAGTGCACAAATAGTTACATACTGTATATAAGTTTAGATAAAATGAGCTGTAATGTAAATCTGTTCCATCAAGATTGTTGTATGTTAAGCACAACAGACTGTCTCTTTTCAGCTTCTTGAGTCAGTTGTAAAGCAGAATCTCAATTGCTCATTTACTGTATATTCAGGAAATACTCTTACTTTGTAACTTACCGAAATTGTAGATGTGCAATATTCTTTTTCTGAGTAAACATCTTTTTTTTTTCCTCTGTTGGCTTGTCATTGGAAGTTGCACTGTAAAATAACAACAATTTACAAAGTAAAATTCTTTACATTTTTTCGGAAATACTCAGAATATTTGTGTCTGTTTATTTTTTTTTTGTAAATTCTTTCAAAATGAGTCGTTTAATAGAGTAATGTCTTTCAGACCTTCCTTTCCGGGTTAAATAACAAATGCAAACTCTTCAATCTGCGTGAGTTTATATTTTCCTAGAAAGTTTTCAAACACAATGCCATTTGAAGTCAAACTGTTGCTGTTGGAAAGTGTTCAAAGCTGGCATAGAAACTGAGAAGATGTTTTTTTTCCACTTTTTATGAAGCGCAACTATATTTATTTTCCCTGACACTTGCGTTAGTATGGGTTTTGGTGCGGTCATGCTGAAAATCTGTCCCGTTTCTCTTGTTTTTGCTGGCGATATTTATTTTTGTACCCTTGTTATATCTGTGTTTTGTTTCGTGTCTTAATCATGTAGAAGTCTGAGGTTTTACAGTGTGTTGGCACTGCGACTCCTCCATGTCTTTTTTTTGTGGGCATTGTTGCCAGGCCATGCAGGCACAGAATACAGGTGTTTTGGGAACCTGCTGTCTTCTGTGCTTGTTGCTCTGATACATACTGTCTTTGTTATCCCTTCATAATAAAACGTGTCAGGGCTCAGATGGACAAATACACCAGCTGGAAATCAGATTCTGTAGAGTAGCATGAATTGGACAAGAGAGTGAAAACTGGTCCTGAAGAAAGGAGACAGATGTGAGAACGCCTTTCAACTCATTTTGTACATTGTCTTCCAAGTAACTTATTGATGCAGATATTGTCCATCTGTTGATCTTGAAAGATTTTGGGGAATGTACCTCAAATATGTGGCTCTGTCTATCACAACCCCAATTTTTAATTGTTAAGAAATAAGTTGGATATTTTATAGCATGTCAATGGTCAACTGTGCGCTATTTAATAAATGAATCCGATCAAAAACTTTTAATGTTTTTAGAATGTTTCCCCATTTAAAACAGACACAAGTCTATGGATACCAAAGGTTTAGCAGAGAGTCTTTTAAGCAAATTGCATTTTAGTCTGAAACAACTAATGGAGTATCATTATCTTAGTGTACATTCTTATCCATTAACTATCCTAACCCTTAGAGGAAATAACCAAAATGTGACAGGAAATGGCCAAAAGCTCAAAAGCTTATCTAAGTGAAAATCTGAAACTTTGTTGGTTGAACTATTTTACTATACATTTTACTTTCCTCTCCCTTGAGCGTGATTGTAAAATACCTTGAAGGCTCACCGTGAAATAGTCCATATATTACTCTGCAGACCTTTCTGTGTCCCTGTGATAGGAATCACACGCAAAAGGTATCTGAAGGAAATGAATTCCAACCTTCCTTTTTCCACTAAGGTTAAGAAATTGCAGTGCCCTCTTAAAATGTTTCATGCTCTCCCTGTCTTGGGTGATGCATTCATTACTTCTGGCCTTGAATAAGACTGAAAGGTACTATATGCAATGCTTTATTGTGAGAGTCTTCAGACAGCCAAAGCAAAAGCAATTTGAGGTTGTCACTGCATCTAGGCAGAACCTTAAGTTGTCAGATCTCCCCACAGCTGCAAAACAAAGGTACAAAGATTACTTTGGAAACGAATATTAAGGAATTCTACTTGTTTTAAACAGTGAAGATAAACACAGTGTACTGTAAGTGTGTTAGCATGTTACATTGATGCTTACTCATACACATAAAGATTGTGTTGTAATATTTGGTGGGTTTGCTTCTATTTGTATTAGTCTTTCACTGGATAACAAATTTCAGTTGTTTTTTTGCTGATGTTCTGCATAGTTGCTGTGTTAACTAATTGCCTTTAAATGCTGCATATGTATCAAATTTTAGGATTGCATCAGGATGTGCTTTTCCCTAACCTCCTTTGTATGCATGTAAATAACATGGATGCTAACATTTTGAAAAGCACAGGCACAATTGATTTCTTTTGTTTCTGCGTTTCAGCTTGCCATAGCTTGACCATAATGTTCTAGAAACGTGTCAGCACTCTGCTTCTTTAAAGAGCATTGTTTGCTTTATGAGCATGATCATCCTCTAAAATGTTTGGGCAGCAATGCAGGCATGTCAATTGATATTTTATAAAGACATTCAAGTGTCTAGCCTATTGTTAGACAATTGATTGTTTCATTAGTTTTTTATGAAAAAGGGAAGTTTTGAGATAATCTTTTGAGGGCACAATGAGACTCATATCACATCCTTAGAATGCTGTACACTAAAAGGTCAGTGAAGTCATTACTGAAATATTTCCGTCTAGTATGTCTAGTATTCAACAGGATGTTTGATGCTCTGTGGAATAGGAAGCAACTATAATCAACAGTTAGTCTAGTGTTTTGTTGTTTATAGCTATTGTCTATGTCTGCCGATGTTATTTAGGATCGGAAATGTGTTGGTGTTTCCACAGATAAGTAAACACTCCAAGGTCACAAAACAAGAACACATAGATACCGTCAAAGTGAAATGGGTTCAATGACTAAGAATGTGCAGACTCTAATGTTACATATATGGAACCTGTAAATGACAGTGATTTTTGGTTCGAGTCAAAATATATTAAATAGACTCAAGCAAGTAGAGAAGTACAGTTTTGTCCATAAAATATTTGAGCTTTATTCAGTCTTTTCAGAGTGTGAGAAGGCAGACATTAGCAGCAGATGAAGTTGAAGTGTACACCTTTTAATGATTGTTTTTTTTAGTTATGCAAGGTGATGGGGCTTTTTCATGCTAATTTTTCATTGTAGGTTCTTCCTGTTTATTGACTGGAACTAATTTTTAAAATCAGACTTCAAGGACGTTTGTGACCACCAAGTGTCTTTTAATCATGAGCTGTTTTATTTATTATGATACATATTGGCAGTGTGATAGCTAGCAGTAACAGGAAATATAAGACACATAATGTCACTCAACAGGTGTCTTGGTATTGGCAGTATTATTGGCGTTTGAGAAAGGATGTAATCATCATTTTTTGCAGAGACATGACTGAATTTTGTTTTTGGTGTTGATCTAAGTACAGTATTCCAAAAAAAAATAAAGAAAGGAAACTGCTACAGTGTAATTGTTGTGCTGATTTTGTAGCTGAAACTTCATATGTCTTTGAATAAAACATACTACATGTAATGCAACCTCTAGGATCATATTTATTTCTGTTAACTGAGTAAGATCTTAAATATTTTAAGACATCTATATTTCTGTAAACAAGCAAAAAATATTACATTGAGTCATACACTGTAGCCTCAAATTCATACAATTTGTATAACTGATTTCTGATATAATTAGTACTGTATGTTAATAAATGTGTCATTCTTACATGGGGTGTGCTAAATATAATATTAATATTTCAGTTTCTTGATTATTCTTTTCACATCCATCTCCATCAAAGCAAAAGATGCAAAAACTACTCATCTGCTGTATCTGGTGAGACCTTTTCAGTTAAACAGGTTTACTGCTTGATTGGAACCATGTTTACCTGCATTTGCCTTAAACACCTCTATATGGTTATCCTTAGCTGTTTTTAGTATGGTTTTATAGTCAATTGTAGATATTTTTAAGAATAGTTTTAATAAAACCAATTGCAAGAGTGTTGTCTGAAATTATAACTCATTAGTTTTGTCTGTTTTGTTTTCTTCTTTTCTAGGAATTCAGAATGTGCTGAGCCTGTTTTGTGCAGTTCTGACAGAACATAAAGTTCTCTTTCACTCCACAAGCTACCAGCGGCTTGGAGATGCCTGCAGGGCACTCGAATCGTTAATGTTCCCACTGAAGTATAGGTGAGTGTCGAAACAATCTGGCTGTTCATGACAGTTCCAGGTTTGTGGTAGTTTTTATTTTCGGTGTTTCAAAACTCACTGGTCAGTGTACTGTACATTTTGTGCTGTTGATGCTGTTCATGGTTGTTATTATATAGGTGCATGTTGTTATTTCATATATTTGGGGTTGCACTAAGGTATTTGAAGACAACAACTGATTATAGTTAAAATAAGAAAATGCGCAAAATAAAGCTCACTGATGTCAGCTGATCCCAATTCTGTAGTTTTGTGTCCTGCGAAATTAGCACATGGCATTGGAAAATAGGATTTATATTCTGATTACTCAGTATTTACTGCACATAACCAGCTTCTTTTTGTTTGAAAAGAGCTGCATGTCTCACACCCATATTCTCCCAGATGTGATATAATGAGGTTATTAGACTGGCAGGTTTTTGGAGATATATATATATACAGGAAAATTTAATTGAAATGAACATTGTAAGCAGGTGTATGTTGATTTTTGATAGCCAGTATTCCAGTTCAACCCACTCACTGCAGTATACATCTTTAGTAAAAGAAGCTCAGCTGCTCTACAGTTAAGACAGCGTCTTCCGGATATGCCTTTTTTCTCCTGCTCTTTTTTCTTTTTTCTTATACCCAGCTACCCTTACATTCCAATACTTCCTGCACGGCTGCTCGAAGTCTTGAGTTCCCCGACGCCTTTTATTATAGGAGTGCACTCCATGTTCCAGAGTGAAATCCAAGAGCTGGTAAGCAATAGAGCACTTTCTTCATTAAAGGGAGAATGAACTGTGGTTTATCGTTAATGAAATATTCCATTTAATGGGGGAGACGAGGTTTATTCCATGAAATAAAAAAGGAAAGAGTGAAATGCACAGTATTTTGGCTAAGGAGCACTCTGGATGTGTGGCATGTTTGTGAGGATTTGCCCTCCGTGCCCCTAAAGAATGTTTTGCTCTGTAGCTAAAATGTTGTGTATTTCACTCTTTTTCTTTTTTCCTGAAATGATCCTTGACTTGTTCCTTTTGCAACCTCCACACTGATGGACTTCCTCCCTTCTATTGAGATTCTATTTAGACATTAAATCCTTGAAACGCAAAAAGCCTAACTGGCCTTTTCCCGTTTTTATTTGCAAAGCAGGTAGTTCATTCGTAGAAATGATACAGTTATTCCCTGACATGCAATACCGACATACAAAACAGGATGTGTGATGCTTTTATTCATCTCCATTTCTCGCCTTTTTCCTGCTTCTTTAGCTGGATGTTATTATTGCTGACCTGGATGGAGGGACAATAAAGATCCCCGAGTGCATTCATCTCTCCCAGCTCCCAGAGCCTCTGCTCTGCCAGACACAGAAGGCTCTCTCCATGGTAAGACACACAGTGCAGGAGGCCGCAGGCATTCCCTGGCTACAGCAGTCTGCTTTAAGTATTTCAGATAAACCAACATGGAATTCTGTTTCAAAGCCAGACGTGTTGAAAGAAATGTAGAAGATGCCAGACATGCAGTTGAAATTATCAAGGTCCTGGAGCCTCTTGTTTCAGTAACAGCTGCATCAAATCTTTAGGGAGCACCTTTGGGTTTTGAAAAGCCAGTAAGGGGTATTGGAATAGTGACCAAATATATACTGTAGTTACATGGTATCTAATGGAATGCTCATACTTTTTTTGATTACAGGTAGTACATTTTAAAGCCTTATAGCTTTTGAATCTGGTGCTTTGTCTTCCCTATGGTGTCCCTGGAAACCAGATTACATTTCATACTTGACTGAAGATACTGGGAACAGAGGGCAGAGGGATGCTTGTTTTAATAATTCTTTTCTCCTGTCCCCATTTCATTTTTTTTGTCAAATTGTATCTGTGACCAGCTTTCCCTAATCCATGCTTGCTTTTTGACATCAGCCTTTGAGAATCATACAGCATGCATTCCACTAGGCTTTGAAATATTTTTAAGCCCAGTCTACTCCCACCCTTTTAGCAGCATCACCCTCGGCTGAGGCTGTGATGTGAGGGATTCTGTAGCGAGTCGAGACCCGGAGAAAGTGCTCTATCCAGTGAGCCAGATGGAGGTCTGGTCCTTAGCCCAGTGGCTGTCACTAACAGCCTGTTCATTTGACTGGGGTTTACATAAGTTTTAACCAGCAGGTGTGTAAGGAGGCCCTGCCTTCTTTGCAGATTTTACAGATCCAGACTTAAGTACTGTATATAGTAAGAGCATTCTAAAAACAGCACCTCCTGCAGCACAGTGTCCCCAGTTACTAGCCGGGGACATTGGTTTGGAAATTGTGATCCAGAGGAAAGAGCGTCACGTACTGGTCCACCAATATCAGAATCTTAAGTATCTTAATCTTGAATAACCCAGTTTTCAGTGAGCAGGTCATTTTCCTTTGTCTCTGTCCTGTTATTCATTGCTGCAGAACCTCTTTATATAAATGTGGACAGCCTTGATGTCATACCCAAGTGCTCTACGTCTTTGTGACTAGTGTGATATGTGCCTTCTCATGTTGGTCTCATCTGGGAATCGATCACATTGCTTAAATGGTTGACACACCATTCATCATCTTACCTTTAGTTTTTGCCACCAAATGATCATAATCCAGTGTTTTAGAATGGCAACCTTGTCTTACCCAGAAATCTTATGTCTCTTAGGTTTTAAACCCAGACTTAGAAGTTGCAGATCATGCTTTTCCACCTCCGCGCTCTGCTTCATCCAATATTAAATTGCTGGTAAGGTTTTTATTCATTATTCATGACTAATAGTTATTATAGCTGATAGTGCACTTTACTAGAACTACTGAGCACAAACCAGGCACTGGTGGTGAAGGTGTCAAGTCTGGGGGCTTGTGTTGTATGTTGGCCCTCCATTAAAACGCAGTCAGCAGCTGTCTGAAACTCTCTTACAATCTCTTTTTCAGGACAAGGAGGTGCGCGCGGTATTCCTCCGGTTGTTTGCGCAGCTTTTTCAGGGGTATCGATCATGCTTGCAGTTGATTCGTATCCACTCAGAGCCCGTTATACACTTTCATAAGGTAAGCCCACCACGCCGTCGTCTCTGTCTGCAGCAGTGAAATGTCTTGCTGCTTACGCAATGTGTTTTGCTTAGGAAGGTAGGAAAGAACCATATGATAAATTATTTTTCACACAATTATTATTGTTCTTTTGAGAAATCACATTTTTTTTCTTGGTGAGAGAGCAGAAGGGGCTGGGTAATTCTAAGCAACATTTTTTTTCTTTGTACTGTACATATTATTCAAGACCTGTCCAGGCATGGGGGCTTTTTAAATTTGCATCCCATTTCCTCTGTTTTTTGTTGCTTGCTCCTATGTAATAATAGTCTTTCTAACAAATTTCTATGTCCTCCTGATCTGGTCCCACTGCACTCATTACTGAAATTGGTACACTGACCTGTGGGAGAGACACATGTCTGTAGCAATGGGAAAAGCCCTGGGATATTCTTTATATTATTCTCATATATTTTTGCTCATCCCTTGGAATTTTCCAAACTTCATAAACTCAAAGTTTTTTTGGTGTAATTCTGCTGAAATTAATTGTTTCTCAATACATTTTACTAATGTATTGAGAGATGTATATCTTAATTTTTAACATATTGTGTTTTTTCTGCCGGTCATTCTTTTTTTGTTCACGGGTAGATTGCTTTTTCTAGAAACAGAATTTTAAAAACCCTCCTTGAAAAAATACAGCTTTCCCCAAATTTGTGTTTTTGTGCTTTGTCGGTTAAGTAAGCTGACCTGCATCTTTCCCCAGTGATGAGTGTTCTGTCTGACGTTTGTGTTTTATTTGTTATTTCTCACTAGACGGCCTTTCTTGGACAACGAGGTCTGATCGAGAACGATTTCCTGACCAAAGTCCTTGATGGAATGGCATTTGCTGGCTTTGTTTCAGAGAGGGGCCCTCCGTACAGAGCCTGCGATCTGTTTGACGAGGTATGAGTCACATTTGCTGTTGTCATTTCCAATAATCTTGTTGTCCTTCCCTAGAAAACTTGATCTGTGAAACAGTATCAGGTAATGACAGCTAAGAAAGACTCAGCACCCTTAGGTTCTCTCTGGGATGTGTGTTGACGTGCCTGATGTAAGAATTTAATAGGTCATTGATGCAAATGTGTTACATATTATTTACCATTCTGAGTATAACACTTTAAAACCATTGTCTGAAGGAATGTGTGCTTGCAAGGTGAAAAAGAAGGGATAGCCAAGGCTGGTGCTAAACTTTCTGGATTTGGGTTCTGAATATGCACTGGAATATATTAACTCTACCATGGAATAATTGGCTTCTTTCTGGTGATTTGGCCCTATAGTGAAAGCACTTAGGTGTTTAGGTGTCCATTGATTACAGACGTGTTTAGAGTATTTGTCAAATTTCAAGGTTGTGTTTTTCCAGCATTATCGCTGGGACGATGCTGCTGTGTCAGTGCCGCTCCAGAGTCCCTGTGAATATTTCTTTTCCTCTCCAGTTAGTTGCCTTTGATGTTGAGAGATTCAAAGAGGAGGAGGAGAGCCCAGCAAAGTTACTGAAACACACTCGGGAGCTTGCAGAGCAGCTTAATAAAAATGTGAGTGGCTCGGCGTTTTGTGGTTTTTATTTTTATGTGCAGTTAATGGAGAAGGAACTTGCCTCTTCAGTCGCTTTTCATTGGCATTTGAGTTGAATGATAAGTAAACTAATATTTCATCACATCGGTATGCAGTATAGTTGCAGCAATAGATAGCGCCCATTTTGGGCCTTATCAATCTGAGCCTATATCTTGTTTTTTTCCTCAGTCCCGCAGCATGCTTTCAACATAGTTCTCTTCCTCGAAATGAGCGTTTTCAAAACGGTAACCTTGAAATAGGAACGTCTATCAAGTCAGGTAGCCAGTTTCGTTTACATTACTTACCTGAATCTCACACAGGCATTTTAGTGCGGAAATCATCACACAGGTATTATGTTCTAAGTTTTTCTTTTTTTACTCTTGTGCCGTCTTAAAAAAAGAAAACAGAAAAACAGTTACACCAGTATTTAGACTGATTTATGGCATAATTGAACAGAAATACATTTTTTTCCCCAGAGTCCTTCTTTACCTGTTTTAAGTCACTGCGAATTATTTTTCTCATGTTACGACCTTTCCTGCTTAGGTTCCCTTTCTCCCCTTAAAGAAGCGATGGGCTGTATTTAACATCTAAGGTGCTGTGGAACACCATCAGCTGAGTCGAGATGAGCCGCATCTTTTAATTCCGTCCACAGGAAAACCCCAATCCTCACATGGCTTTCCAGAAAGTGCCTAGACCTACGGAAGGCTCCCACCTGCGCGTGCATGTGATGCCCTTTCCCAAGCTGAATGAGGAAAGAGTCCAGACGCTGGTCCAGGAGGGACTGGCCAAGCTCCACATAAACCCCCTTCCTGGCCGGGTAGAAAAGAAATGCATTGTGCCCGCCGGGCCCGCCGTGGGTGAGTTCACAAGCTCTAAATCAGCCAGAATGTTCCACATTGATGCAACAAGTAACCAGCACGGATTTCAAAAACTCCTGTCCTCCCGTTTGCTGTAAAATGTTAGTAATGCTGTTGTTTCCCTCCTGTGCTTTGCAGTACTGCATATCCCACACACTCTGCACTATCAGTATTAGTTGATAAGTTTGCATTATGGTCCGTAAATTGAAAGAAGTTGACTTGTTTTAGATAAAGCTTTAAAAAGCTCTTATTACTTTGTGTGTCATTTCATACACATTTCTGTCATGGTTATAATGTAGGCAAGGCAGCACTGAGCTCTTTCCACTTTGGCTGTTTTCCTCCTGTTTTTGTGAAGGAAATATTATTCCTGAAATGTAATTAGTTACCAAAACAAAAAATTGTGTTCCTATCCCATATGGCAATTATGTATTTGTTTGCGGCCTTTAAGTTCTTAATCAAGAAAACATTATAATACTCTAGATATTAGAAAGTACAAAACATTCCAAGACGTTTTTCATCTCAGCTTGGAATTGAAACTAAGCAGTTACTGATAATTTACAACACGAATCATTAGTTCCTCAAGTCTTTGGAGTACTTTGTTGTCTTTCCTTTCAGTGAGTAATAGTCTGTTTTCTTCTGCTCTCATTTCATTCTGTAGCTGCAGTTTATCTTTCCTTGATTGCAGGATGTTTTTATAAAGTCGTTTGTACAGCGTTCGTGTCAGAGAGGAAAATTATGTTCATGTGTTTAATGTGCAGCTAACGGAGTCACATTTCTGTCATTCTTATCTCCTCTGACAGTCTCAATAATGGCCAAAACGGGATCAGTTTTCAACAGTGCGAGGAGACTGGAAGTAGTAAGGAGTTGTATTGCGTTCGTATTTGACAATAAGATACTCGAGACGGAGAAGGTAACGTGTTTGAAATCTCTTCTCAAAGTTTTCCGCACCTTTTTCCATTCACAAATACAGAAACAACAAGTCCCTCTTCTTTCAGTTTATCTACAATTTGTAGACATTATTAAGAAGCAATAAAGCTAAGTAAACCTCTGAAAAGACTATGGTGGTCCATACATTTGCATAGGATTGTGATAAATACAGCGGGTGCCCGGGAGACACTGGGGTCAAGTACAAGAAAAGGGCTACTTATATTGGGGTATTTTTCACCATCGGAAAAATACACCCTAAGGGTTAGGGACTGTCAGAGCACTAATTTAACCTGTGCAATTCAATGCAGAGAATTTTCTTTTTTTTATTCAGAAGCTATTAAATTTAAATTACATGTAAACATACATAAAAACAATTCTAAGTTTAAAGACCTTATACAGTAGCAGCCTCTTTACCAACTGAGCATATCATTTCTCAAAAGCTTAAGAAATATGTACAATATATTTAAACATATTTAAGTGACATTTTTAAATAATTAATTATAATAATAATTATAAAGATTAATATTTTTACCTTAACATATTGCACATGTTGTACAAATTTCTCAAACAATCATTTATCACAAACTTATTTTAGTATGCAGAAGCATTGTAGAAAGCATTTTTAAAATAATTAGTTCAAGTAGGTAGCTGCGTCAGCATGTGTAGACTACAAAGGAACAAGTAAAGGTTTGTTCCATGCTGAAAAGAGAAGAAAAGAAACAGCATTTTAGTCTTCATCCCTTTAGACTAAACCTTTACTTGTTCCATTCCATTTGTCTGTTTTTAAAATTAATTTACCTTAAGGTATGTATTAAAATTTTACTTTACATCTGGTCACTTAACATTTGGTTATTAAAATGACCTCTTGAGAAAAGCACTACATCCAAAACATAAGTAACGTCTACAACATTATTTATATTTATAAGACATCAAAAATGAAAGAATGACTGTTTTTCTGTACATGACCTATCCAATAAATCTTTACCTGTGTGTAACAGGAAACATTAGGACCAACACTATCAGAGGAAAAGACCCATAATAACACAGCTGCTAGTTTTGTCATCTCATTTCCTACACAGTTTTGTGTAGATCATTTCACCATGTGTGTGTTATTCTTTGAATTTGGAGGCTCGTATGGTGACTTTCTCTTGAGTTTTGGTCTACTATACAGTAAATGGGATGGTAGCCAGCTTGCGGATATTCCCATTGGATCCAATACTGTAACTGTTGTTACTGTTGTTACTGTATATAACCACAGCTTGTGTCCCTGTGCAACTATGTAAGTAAAGAGACAGCTCCACAGAGCAAACAACCCCATCAGCTCAAAATGTGAACTGGAAAACAATATGCAAAGAAAACCTTTACTTTTCTCTGTTGTTTGCCGTAGAAGCTGGCTCTCTTCTGATATGCTTAAATCCTGTGAGCTAAAAAGTGTGTCATAAATGGAAGGAATTTTTTGTTAATTTATCTGGGAATTTATTAAGAGGCTCAGCGAAATTCGGCTGGAGTAGATCATTGCCTCTCGGTAAGAAGTATCTCTGATCTGCGTTGCTGATGGTTCGTTGCGGTTTGTCAGACCCTGCCAGCTGCCCTCCGCGCTCTGAAGGGGAAGGCTGCCCGCCACTGCCTGACTGAGGAGCTCAGTCTGCATGTTCAGCAAAACCGAGCCCTCCTGGATCACCAGCAGTTTGACTATATCGTGCGGATGATGAATTGCGCATTACAGGTCAGTGCAAGACAGTCCACAAAGGTAAGCTTTGCTTGTAGAACCACGGATCCTGTGACACACAATTCATAAACATGGCTCTTCAGTCAATTATAAGCAATGAGCTTTTTTTATCTTACTTACGATACACTCTTATAACTGTTGTTTCCTGTAAAATAAGGGCTACTTTTGGCCTTTATTCTCCCACCTAGGTTGCACGGTGGTGCTGGAGTTAGCCCTGGTGACTCATGGTTTGTGGATTTTTCACCTTTCAAACACATGCTGCCTAGGTTAGTAGGTGTGTCTGCATGGTCTTGATGTTTCTGAGCCTCCACCCTGTGCCCTGTGCTTCCTGCATTAACCCAGAAGTACAATGACCCTAACCAGCAACAGGCAGCTTACTGATAAGAAATGAATGGATTATCCAGCGGCTTTCCTCTTAAATGCTCATTGAGTCTTCACTAGTTCGCAAGTTACTTTAATAAAAAGTCTTTCAGCTGCGCAATATATTTGTGTATACAGTATGTGATGTACTGTGGTTAAAAATACTTACACAATAGGTTTTTATACAATAAGTATAAATAAGTTTAAATACAGTATAGCTATTGTATTTGTTGATTTTTGGTACAGACAACATCTTATTGACCTAAAGGTATTTTTTTCAAAAAAGTTGGTGTATAGAAAGGCAAAAGGCTGTCTTCTTCTCTGTCAATTCGTTTCACTATTTGTTTTGAAAAAAGTCCACAACAAGCTTCTGTAGTTGGTCCATCAAGAGCATTTCCAGTCCAGTGTCTGAGCAGTGACAAAGGATAGAAATGTTGTGGTGTCTTCCCTCTAGCCAACATACTGCTGTGCAAAAACGCAGTCTCAGTGTTTCTTTTCTTCTCTAGGGGATAACAGGTGAACTGTAGAATTGGTGGAAGGGAGAAGCCCTACATTCTTGTTCCACACAAGTTCTGTTTCTGAGTCCAGACTGCTTTTTGCAAGCTGTAACGGGTTTAAGTTTAATGTGTGCACTGACCTTTGTAGCTGTTGACAGCAAATCCTGTACATCATTTCCTAATAGAAAGTATATGTGGACATACTGTAGTATGTGGCCAAATAGTGAACACCCAGGTCTGGCAAGTAAATTTAGACTGTACCTAATACCATGCTGTGTAGAATAGTCACTGCTGGGACTTGATTTGGTAGTCCTGAAATAATTCTTGTGCCCGAGTCATATGAGTTGTCAAAAGAGTCATCTGCAATTAGTCAAATATTTATTTGATTTAAAATGTGATGGTCCCATTTTTGTATACCCATGACATTTTCTGTTGTTCATTGTACCTGTTTATGTCTGGATCATAATTAAGGGTTTTGATAATATCATGGAGGGCCAGCAATATCTAGTATTGTTTGTTTTTGTTTTTGAACATTACGACATTACATTGCAATTAATAATTGCAGGGAAAACCATTCCAGAGGAGAGAGATAAAACTTTCAAACTTCCTGATAAACAAAATTAGATTAATGTTTTTTTTTTTATTTATGGCGACTTTTAAAGGGTAATTTTGATTTTTTTTTGCATTTTTAAAAATATACATGTAAAATTGCAGTGATGTTTTTGTGCACACTGTTCTACTGATTGGTTTAAGGAAACTAAGGCCAAAAGAAATTTTGTGCTTCGATTCGCTGAGACAGAAGTTCCAGCTACCATTAATAAGCATATTCCTTGAGATTAAAGTCAGTATTTAACAGTATACCACTTGTCCTGTTAAAATCTACTTTAAAATTTACTAGGCAGGTAGATTTGAAATCTGGAATGGTTATTTCTTTTAAGGGGGAACATGCTTCTCCAGATGGGTCTATCAACCTAGCCCAGTGCAGTGTGTATCTGTTTCCACATTTTGTTGCTTAGAACCAGTCATTCCAAATGTATTTATAACGATGAAGCTTTAAATAAATTAATATAAACATATTAAGTTAATTTCCTTGAGATTTTGGAGCGTTTTAAACTGCCGCACTGAGCTGGATAGCGAATGATGAAAGAGGCCTGGCCTGGCAAGTTAGCATTTCCCCATGAAGGTCAGTGCGTTTGTGTGAGCTCTGGCTTTGATTTCTGCTCCTTCTGCTTCCAGCGAGAGGAAAAAAAGTAGCTCACCGGCTACTTTCACAAGGAGATATGCACAGGAGACTACGGGATGTTACTGAACTTGCATGGGTGCATCTCTGTGAAGGTCAGTCTCCGAGGTGCAGAGAACAGAGGCAAAAAAGTGGGTGATGGTGTGTGCTAAAAGCTCAAGAATGTGTTCAGGCCTGACAAACCGCCTTGCACAGCACGGTCCTCTGATTGAAAAAGGAAGGAATGTAGTGGAACATTTAATTAGGAGATGAGACTTTTGTAGCAAAGCAAACAAAATTGGTTGTGACAACAGGATGTTTTAGTGGGGAAAGTCATCATGCCTGGACAGTTCCTTCTGTTGAAGTAAATGTGGAACTCTGCCTTGAACATGCAGAAAGAGCAGCGTATGATTGGTTCTACCAAATAAATCTGTTTCTGTGGAAATGAACTGTCGCCAGTATAGAGATAATGTATCCCTTTTAAGTGGACATAATTAAAAGCTTTTTCTTTTTGCTTTGCAAGAATGTTTTTTTGTGCTGACAGCTTAGACTCATTTTTTAAAATGTACGCAAGGAAAAGGCATTTCCATCCAAAGAAGTGGCTTTGAAATGAATTGTGTTCAAATATAAGCAATTCGTACAAGGTCCCAGCACAGTGATATTAATTGTCTTTTTGTTGTCTCCTCACTAGAATTGATGACTGTTTGAGTCTCAGTTTGGCTTAAACATCAGTTTTCCATGGCTTTCCTTTTGAGTGTCGTGGTCTCACAAATATATAACTCATGCAGATATATCATTGTGATATTCTGAGTGTCACTGTTGTCTTTTTCAAATTTTGTCCTGGCAGGGAGGTTTCTGAAAACTGATGAAGGCAGACAAAGGAGCTGATTTCTCAAGCTCCTTTTCAGCTGGATCCTAACTGTAGAAAAACAGCCAGGCTGTGCTTGAGTGGCAGCTTATACTACTAAAATATTGCAATAAAAAAGTGTGCATAGTGTGTGTGTAGATATTTCTTTGGAAGTACTGCTGGTACATACGCTTTGCATTTTCTGTCTAATTTAGTCCTTTGGCTCTTGTTTTGTAACAAATTAGGACAGCAAATTAGAAAGGAATCTGAACTCTTTTACATACTTGTGAAAGTGCAGATTTGTTTGTTGAAGTTTGGAGAGTGTATTAAAATGTATATGTAATACTGTTGTTTTTTTGTATTTTACTAAGGCAACCGGCATTGTAAAATCTCATCACATTTTCCAGATATTCTTGGTCATGGATTTGGAGCCGAGGTCAACATTTTTCACTCCAATGGGCTGTTAAATGAATAAAAATAGTGGATTGCTTGGCTCCATTCATAATTGCTTTCATATTCTGCAGTTTCTCTTTTCTGCACCCTGGTTTGTCAAAGAAAAGGTTACATGTTGCAAACGCTCCAGGGATTAGATGCTCTTTTTATAAAAGCTTTACTCTGAAACTGGACTGGAGCTGAAATTGGAAATGGGTGTGTGAAGATCATTAGATCGGTAGATTATCCACTGATGGTATCCATCAGTATTACCCCTTCTGTAAGGCAGGTTCACTGAAGCAAGGCTATTTTTACTAGCCGTTTGAACACATTCACATTGACTTAATTATGACTTCATAGTGTGGTGAAGAAACATCTTTTATTGTTTAAGTGCAACAATAAAATGCCAAAAAATAATATTAACTGTTAAATACAGTTTTTTCAACTATTGTTCTTCTGCTAGTAAAGGTATGGCTTTTTGATATGCCACTGCACAGTGTAGAGACACAGTGACAGGTGTCACCCACAGTTTTAAATGAACTCTGGGCTCTGTCCTTCACATCTTTTACTGGTTTCTTTGTCCATTTAGTTCACTGGAGACAAGCTGCACCGTTGCTGTAGATCAGATGGCATGATCACAAACTGAATTGCACATGCCTTGCAAATGTGGAAAAAATGTAATTTTTTCACATACAGGGGGTTTAATTAAATGGATATCAACAACAGCAACAATAACAAAGAAGCATGCATATTAAACCTAGAAAGATCTGCATCACACAGCTGTGGGGTTTTTTTTGGAAAAGAACAAAAGTTTCCATATTCACTTTCTGCAGGGGGTCAGCAAGTTTTGGCACTGTTTCCATCCAAGGTGGCAGATGGTATTGTTTATAAGTATTCAAATATTGAATTGAAAAAGTATAACTCCTTCGTATCCCTTTTAGTGTATTTCAACCCGCGATGTATCTGGTGACCTGTATTTCAGGTATTGGGTGTACAGGCTGAAAGAAGCCAGAGGAAAAAAAAGTATAAACGACAAATTAAAAATGTTTCTGTGAATTAATGGCATTGAGTCTATCAGATGGCTACCGTGTGATATACTTATTTACGCTGTTTTCTCATGCAGCCAGAATTGAGCACCCTGTTTGTCATCCTGTGATAGATGTAGTGTGTACATTTGCCTTTATATCAGATCTAAAACTGACACTAAATAGGTGATGGTAAGCATAACTAAACAATCACAAAAATACTGTATTTGCAGGAACATCTCATTCAAATTGAAAACACGCACTGTCATTGTTCATACGACTGATATTCTCTCGTTATCAAAGAACATACGGTACACGCAGAGCAAACAAAAAAACAACTGACAGATCCTTCTGCATGCTTCCATGAAAGAGAAGTAGCTCAATTAGAAGGGACGGCGAAAATAAACCAGCTGGAAAAACCAGCTGGAGACCCACGTTGGTGTATGCTTAGTTGAGGAGCCAGTGGTGCAAACCTTTAAGTCAAAATCCCCCCTTGAAAGGGTAAGATGTCTTAGCCTAAATCTCCTCTAAAAAGTAACAGGGGTGCTCTTTTCAGATGAACATATTGGCCAAGACATCTTGGTTAACCAGTATGTGCTCTGTAGGCTGAGGCAATT